TTCTGCTTGAAAGAAAACAGAACCAAAACAAATACCTCTTCGCCCCGCCCCTTCGCAGGTTCTTGAACTACTGGGTGGGGCCCGGGCGGCGCTGCGCATGCACGCCAGGGCACAGCCCGCCCCTCGCCCCGAAGTACGTGGGCGAAATCTCCGCCGCAACCACAACAATTGAGAGCACCAACCAATCAAAGCAGCTGCATGGGGCCTCGATGATGTCTACGGACCAATCAAGGATGAGCGCTCGCCCTCCAGTGCCCTCTGCCTTAGATTTCAGTTAAAGTCGGTATCCTCCTTCCGTTAGCAGGTCCTGGTCTTCACTTCTTTCCCCGAGTCGTGGGTACTGGGAGAGGACTTCAGGGCCTGCTCCGTGCGCGATAACGAAAGCTCCTCCCCTCCAGGCTTCCAACTTGGCCGCAGTCAGCTGGACTGACTGGAAAATATCAACACTACCAGAGCATAGCCTGGGAGCTCTGGTGGTGTAGTGCCTAAGGCATTTGACTACTAACCAGAAGGCTGGCGGTTCAAACCCACCAGCCACGCATCGGAAGGAAGGTTGGGCAATCTACTTCCGTAGTGATACTGCCTCGGAAACCCAAGGAGGGGTCGCTATGGGTCGCATAGGACTCCACAGCAGTGGGGTTGGTTTGGGTAGCGTATAGCCTTTTCCTTCTAGCGTCAGTTCCGGTCCCACCCACCAGCAAATCCCCAAGAAGCTGAGAGGCGGGCGCCGCTTCACCCTGGCAACAGGACAATTTCTGCGCTGATTGGTTAAGAGACACAGTCGCTGACGTTGGACGGACCAACCGTGGGAAAGACAGGCACCGTGGGGACTGGGAGTTTGGGAAGCAAACATGCCCTCTTCTGGCACAACTACAGTCTCACGCTCGCGTTGACCTCCTCATGCCAATGGCTAGTGCACAGGCAAGGCACAGCCTTTCCCCCCGCCCCGAAACAGTTTTTCCTGGTTCTAGACTAATGGAAAGGTCGGCGAGCGGGCCGGAGAAAGACATGCCAGTCGGCTTCGGTAAAGGTTTACAGCCTTGTAAACGCTATGGGGCAGTTCTACTCTGTCCCATATGGTCGCTATGAGTCGGGATCGACTCATTGGCACACGATAACAAGCGAATATTTATGAAACAGCTCGACAGCTCTGTCACCAGCCATCTCCCAATGGGGTTGGTAAAATCCCTGCTCTTGATTGGCTGGAGACCTGCAAGCTAATCCAATCTCTGTCCTTCCTTCTGAGTGATCCTTGCCAGGTCGTTTAACCCCGCGTTCTCAATTTCTACTTCTCTGTAAAATGGCAATAATCCCAATTTTTCCAAAAGGGGTATCAGAGGTCAGTGCTTGTAAAGGGTGTGGTGCTGTGCCTGGCACATAGTAACTGCTCAGCAGGTTAGGCTAGTGGTGCAAGGGAAGGATGCCCTAGGCTTTGTGGTCAGGAAGACCTCAGTTCCAGGACCAGATGGACCATTACCAGCTAGGTGACCTGGAGCAAGTCACTGTATCTCCCTTGTTCACTCGTGTGTACAATGGGAATAATAATGCCTTCCTAGACTACCTCAAAGGAGCTCTGGTGGCATAGTGCCTAAGGCATTTGACTGCTAACCAGAAGGATGGCGGTTCAAACCCACCAGCCACTCCTCAGAACTAAGACTGGACAATCTTCTGTAGTGATATCGCCTGGGAAACCCAAGGAGGGGTCACTATGAGTTGAATTGACTCCGTGGCAGTGAGTTTTATATTTTTGAGACTACCTCAAAAGGAGCTCTGGTGATGCAGTGATTAAGGCATTTGGCTGCTAAACAAAAGGTCAGTGGTTTGAACCCACCAGCTATTCCGTGGAAGAAAGAGGAGGCAGTCTGCTTCCATAAAGATTTACAACCTTGGAAACCCAATGGGGGTTGCTATGACTCAGAATTGACTCAATGGCAGTGAGTTTGGTTTGGTTTGAGAATACCTCAAGGAATAAGTTATGGGGTTTGGATGAGCTCATGAACCAAAAAGGTATGAGAGGTGAGGGTTCCTGTCAGTCTTAGGAGCCAAGCCATACAACAGGTTGACCGAGAAACCATCAGAGAGTTCTTGATTGCCACCTAACCATTTCCCATCAGTTTTTCCCTAACCTGTGTTAGTAACAAATGGGCTCTAGTAGTGTTTCCAAGGAGCTCTGGTTGCATAGTGCCTAATGTATTTGACTGGTAACCAGAAGGATGGCAGTTCAAACCAACCAGCCACTCTGTGGAAGGAAGATGGGGCAATCTACTTTTGTAAAAATGTACCACCTCAGAAACCCAATGGGGTTCACCATGAGTCAGAATCAACTCAGTGGCAATGGGTTTGGTTTGGTTTAGTAGTGTTTTCTGCTCATGAGACTTATGGAAGAAGGGGACTCATGTACACTGGGCCTATTGTGTTCTGGAAACTGTACCAAATGCCTTTGCACATTATCACATTGAATCTCCTCACAACCATCTCACTCCAAACCCATATATCCCACTCCCTTCTAGATGTCTGTCTGGCACTACACATCTAAAACAACTATAGTGATCATAGCTAACTTTCTATGTGCCTGCACTATGTGATAACAACTTTAATGTTCCCTTTGACAATGAATGATCTAGCCAGCCATTGCCCAAACCAAAAACCTGGGAGTCAACCTTGATTACTCCGTTTTCCTCAACTCCCACACACCTGTCAGTTCCAAGTCCTGACAATTTTACCTCCCAAATCTCTTGACTTTGCAACTCTACTGCAACTACCCTGGTCCAAGCCAGTATCACCAACCAAAAAAGCTGCCTCTTCCTGCCTCCAGGACTGCTTCTCTACAATCCACTCTCCACAGCCAGAATGACCCTTCTGAAACAAACCTCACCATGACACTATCCTGTTTATAAGCCTTCAGTGATCCCCTTTACCCTTAGGATGAAGTCCAAAACCTGTATCATAGTTTCAAAGGGCTTTTGTGATCTGGCTTACCTTTGTGCTCATCACAGCCTCACGCTCTCCTCCCCAGCCATACTGAACTATTTTTCAGTTCTCCCAAACACCCTCAGCTCACTCTCTAACCTCCAGGTTATTGCACATGCTGTTCCCTCTGCCTAAAACATTATCACCTCCTTGTCTTTTGCCTGGCTAACTCCAATGCATTCTTTATGTGTCTCCTGCTATCTACATGTTCCTTCAAACCATTGATTTAGTTCTACAACACTATATTGTAATTGCTTAATTGTCTGCCTTCCATGCTCAACTCTTAATTTCTAGCACTAGCACATGATACACACTTAAATATTTGGTGAGTAAATGAACAATTATTTCACATATTAATAAACTAAGGCATGAGAAGGTAAGTGATTCTCTCACACATGGATTAGAGCCCAGGTCAATGTGAATCCAAGGTCTGTCTTCTTACACAGAGCTCAGTCAAACACTAACCTAGTGTAGAAGTAGCTCAGGACAGAGAATGAAGGGAATTTCCCAAAGGAAGAGGATTTTGCCAGACTGAGAGATGCTTTTCATTAGGGTTAAATTCACAGCTGTTTGCTGTCAGGAAACCTAACTTTAACTCTACTCTAAACAACTGTATGCTGCTCTGGGTCTCAGTTTCCCCATCTGTGAATGAGGGAAATGGATCAGATGATGGCTAAAGAGGCATGTCTATGGACCACCTAGCCTGCCTCACTGGCTGTAGGTTCCATTTTTCAAACCACATTCTTTCATTTCTCCAAGATCCCAGTCTTCAGAACATGTTTCCAACCATCCACACCCTGCCCCATACCTTTACCCACACAGGCCCTTCTACTAGTGGAAAGGAATTAAAATCATCGTTTTTTTTTTTTTTTTTTTTTGACTCTCCAGCCCAACCAAGTCCCCAAGCCCCCAGAGCCAGGAGATGCTCAGTCCTCATATCTCCTCTCAGGTTTTATTGACTGATGGAAACTATATCTTTGTCAGCCACCAGCTCCATGGGGACTGTGCTGGGGACAGCAAACCTGAGATGATGACAGATTTCAGCCTGAGAGCAGACATAGAGTTCCAGAAGGTGACCCAAGAGGGAAGAGAGAAAGGAATATGTGAAAAGGGGTTGTGGAGGGGTTGTGGAGGAGAAGTAGGAGTTCAAGAAGTTCACCCTGCCTCCTACAACTCCCAGAGTTCAGGTACAACCCAGTCCTGATGGTTCTGGACTCCTGTCAAAGATCATGGATTCAGCCCATAATCTTCAAGAACAGCCCAGCTCTTGCTGGCTGACAGGCTCTTATCTCATCCAGTCCAGGCTCCAGCCCAACCCAGGAAAGAAGCAAACCAGAGGAGAGGAGAAGATGATTAGTTAGAGGCAGCCCCTCTGATCGGCAGATGTAGATGCTGCAGCAAACTGGGCAGAGGCTTTGCATAATGTCATCGTAGCAGCAGCTATTGCTAGAATTTGCTGGAGGCCCGGCAGAGGACAGGGTTGCAGGGACCCATTTCCAGCAGCCAGGGAAGGGGCTGGTGGTGTTTGTGCTATCTATGTTGGGAGGGGCAGCTTGACCCCTCAGCCAAGGCTTAGGGGTGGCAGGTCACTGCTGAGGCCACAGCCCATGGAAGCCTGTGGTTGCATTCCAAGCTTCAGGGTCTGGGAGTTGTTGGACCTGAGATCAGAGGTGAGGGTTCTCTTCTCTGAAGTCCCAAACCTCCACAGCCCAGCCAGAGAGAAGAAGAAATCTTAGCTCTCCTTCTCAGGCCAGAACTCAAGTATCAGCTGGGAGCTTTTCCTAACTCTGAGGGCCTGAGAGAAGGAGCATGCAGGAGGCCAACTAGGAAAACCATCTGGGATGGAAGAAGTTTCCCATTCCCTGTCTACTTCCCCATTGAGTGGGCCATTCCATGAAACTCCACTGCATAGTTCTTGGTGGGGGGCAGAAGGGGTCCCCAGGACTGCCCCTCTCTGCTTCCCCAAAATATGGCTTTGGGAAGGAGTCCTCAAGAATTGACAGGGCCCTCTTGAAGGGCAGACCCACCCCTCATAGGGAAGAGATCTTGACAGTCTCAGGGAGAAGGCAAGGGGTACCCAGGTTGGAGTTCCTGAAGGTGCTGCTGGCCCTGCCACTGCCGCCATCAGGGGAGGATGGTTGACTTTCATCTGGGGTGTTGGCAGGAGGGGTAGGGATACTGATAATGGCTGCCACGAAGTCCCGGCTGTCGCAGTTCAGGTCAAGGCTGTCATGGGGCTTGGCATTGAGGCTTGAGCGGCTGTGGACAAGGGTGGGGAAATGGAAGGCTCTTAAAACGTCATCTTCTCTTAATACTTGCTGCAGTGCAGCAGTCATGAGATCTATTGAGTGCTACTGGGTCCCTGGCACCTTGATAGGTGCTTCCCCTGCATCCTCAATTATGGTGGTGGAGAGTGTGGGCTCTGGCGTCATTATGTTCCAGGCATTTTTCTGAGCATTTTGTATCATTTCTTATCTCACAACAACCATATGAGGTAGGAAATACTGTTATGCCCATGCAATGGATGAGAGAAAAGAAGCTGAAAGTGACTGAAATGCAGACACATTCCTGCCTTCGAGCCTTTCTTTGCACAGGCTGTTAAGCTCTTCCTCTAGATAGATCCATGGCTCACTCCCTCCCCTCCCTCAGGTCTTGGAGAAGATGTCACTTCAGTAAAGCCTTCCCTGACCACACTATTCAAACTACATCACCCCCCTGCTCTACATTCTCTATCCCTCATCTCTGATTTGTTTTTCTCCTTGGTACTTACAGATGTTTAACATATTGTATAATCTGTGTATTTGTTTGTTTATTACCTATCTCCTCTTACTAAAATATAAGTTCCAGAGAGACAGAGGTTTCTGTTCTGCTTGTTGCTATATCCCACATGCCTAAAACTATGCTTGATATACAGTAGGGGCTCACTAAGTGTTTGTTGGAAGAACAAATGAAGGACAAGGAGTTTAAGATACGAAGCCCAAGCTCCTAGCATGGAGGATTTTGGGTTCGAGCTCGACTTCTCAGACTCACTGGTGTAAGCTTTGAGCTTCTTCAGGTGTGGCCAGGAGGTGGGAAGGATACTTACCTCTGAGGGGCAGGGCTCCTCTGCAGCCCAGCCAGCGTGTCCAGCTCCTGCATGCTGCCACGGCTGACAGAGGCAGTGGAGTTGGCAAGACGGATGGCACGGCGCTTGGCCCTGCGTGGGCAGCAAGACGATAACAGACTACTGGTCCCCACTGGCTGGGAGGACATGGAGGTGCTTCGGCTGGTGCGGCCACCTAGTGAGTCAGCTCCCAGGGCCTCGCTGAAGGTCAGTTCATCTGTGAACTCATGGCACTGTGTGAGAAGAAGGGAGATAAAGTCATAGGGCACATCATGTGAGCTGATCCTACTCTCAGGCCTTTCCTCAGGCTGTACCCTCATCTCTGGAAGTCTCTTTCTTCCCTTGCCCATCCTTCAAGGCTCAGCTCTATTGTGGCTTCTTCCAGGAAGCCTTCTGTGATCTCCACAATTAGTAGTGACTCTCCTATCCTAGGGAGGAAGCTGACTTGGCAGCAGAGGGAACCCCTTCACTCTGCCATGCCTCCTGCCATTATGCCTCACCGTCGTCTTCTCTAGACAATGCAGCAAGTGGTGATGTTGCTGCTCAAATGCAGAACGGTTCCTGACACACAGGGTCTGTTCCTCTCCACTGCTGCTATCCTGGAGTGGGCAGAGCAGAGAGATAAGGTCAGTACCTTCCACCTTCCATTCCTCCCCCTCCCCCAAGTCTGGGCTTCTACCCACCTCAAGGCCCCCATTCTGCTTGTATTGCAGGAAGGCATTGGTGGTGCCACTCTTTGCCAACCGGATCCTTGCCAAGCGTACCTTCTACAGAGAGAGGAGGAGATAAAGGGTCAGGGGAGTAAATCCAAGAGTGAACTGGCTTTGGGGTGGGGACAGGAAGTGCTCAGATGGAAAATGTGGTTACCTGCTGTGCTCGGCGCTTGTCAGCGCGTTGGTTCTGGTGGTAGATGCGGCTAAAGTTGGACACAATAACGGGCACAGGCAGAGCAATAACCAAGACGCCACTGAGTGAGCAGATGGATCCGAAAATCTTGCCAGCAATGGTGCTGGGCACCATGTCTCCATAACTGGGGCAGGAGGAGGTAGGCCACAGTCAGGAAAAGTGCCCACCCACTGTGCAGTCCCGCAAGCCACCCCAGCAACACTGATTTGCTCTGTGACCCTGGTCAGTCATTCAAACTCTGACCCTCAGTTTGTTGCTCTACAAAATGTGGGGAATGATCCCTCTGGGCACCCCTGGGGGGGGGGGCTGGTCAAATGAAAAATAGGCCTGACCCTCAGCCCCTACCATCTGCTGCCCCATTTGAGCTGAGGACTGGATATCTGAGTCAGCTAGAAATCTATTAATACCAAGCATAGGGGAAAATGAGGAACTCACAGGCAGCAAATATAACCTCCTAGAGAGAGATCCTCACCACCACAAGCCTGCTGAGGCGGCTCTGAGTCTTGGGAGGAGAGCTCTGTTTGCCTGCCTCTGTCATACCTTCTCTAGCCATGACCCATTCTTATTTCCCCAGGGGAAGCCTTGAAACTGTATTCATATGAAAAAATAGGGGGGAGTCTTGAAACCGTCTCCCTTTCTCTACATGTCTCCATGAAGACTGAGCATAGCTAACCTCACCAACTTGTTTCATAGATAGAGAAACTAAGGCTCAGGAAGGTTCCATAGCTAACGTGCCCAAGATCACATAGCATATTTTTGTTCTGGCCACAGGACCAACCAGAACTCCTCTGCAGAAACATAGGCTCTGCAGTCTCCAGCCTCTAGGCCTTTGCTCAGGCTGTGGCCTCCCCCTTATTTATTTTGACTCATTCTGAGCATTCAGAACTCAAAAATCTCTCCAACTTGGATCTATGATGTGGCATCTCAGTGTCTTTAACTATGAGACAGGGGCACACAGGGTTGTTGTGAGGAATGAATAGGGTAAAAGGAGTCAAAATATCCAATTCCATTCCATTCTCAGGGCTCCATATTGGTTTATCCATCCTAAACTTCCAACCAGAATTCATTTTATCCCTTAGAAATCCCAAATCAGATTTTCTTTATTTCTATAAAGGTACTACTGAGCAAGCACATCTCTTCATTCATTCAACAAATACTGAGCACCAACTGTATATCTAATCCCAGTGAGGGAAACTCAGAGAAGGATCGGGCACGGTATCTGCCCTAGACAATGTCTTTAAGAATTCCATAAGTTTGGTGATTCCATCTGATACTTTTATCCCAATTCTGTTTCCTCTCATGGATTGAGTAAAAAATATAATGCGGAATATATCTTGCTCTGGGGACCATCAAGGAATCACAAAGCCACAGGTAGTGCCCACACAGCAGGCAATTCTAGAGGGTTGGAAGACATGAGTACTCAAAACAGAAAAAGAGAACCTTCACAACAATGGTGTCACTGAATCCTCTATAGATGATGAAGGGATCATCATTTCTCATTTTACACGGGGCAAAACTAAGGCCTGGGGTGGGGGGAAGTCAACAGAAATAGCAATCTTTGAACACAAATCTTATGACCTGGAAAATCAAGGCATTATTAGAGTTGGGAGGGATTTGGAGATTAAGTCAAATCCCTCATGTTTTACAGATAAGCAAATTGAAGCTCAAAAAGTGAGATCATTCATCTGACCTTAATTTTACAGAAAAGGTGAGTGTAACTGACCAAGGGGCAGCTCCCACATAGGGTCTGCACTCACCCAAGTGTGGTCATGGTGACAATGGTATACCAGAAGGCTGCAGGGATACTCGTAAAGTTAGTCTTGTTTGTGCCTTTCTCAGCATAAAACATGACAGTGGCGAAGATGATGATGGCCATGGTGAGGGAAAAGAGGAGAAAGCCCAGCTCAGAGGCACAGCTCTTGAGTGTGTAGCCCAGAATTCGCAGGCCCTGTGAGTGTCTGGAGAATTTGAAGATACGGAACACCCGGAACACACGCAGGGTGACAAAGGCTCCAGAGACATCCTCGTTCTTGGGCACGAAAAGCCCGATGTAATAGGGCAGGATGGCCACCACATCTATAAGGCTCATGACACTACGTAGGAAGCGACAACGGCTAGGGGCGGCAAACAGACGCAGGAGGTATTCGCCCGTGAATATGAGCACACAAGCCGTGTCCATGCAGAAAAAGGCCAGTGGGAAACGCTCGCCACAGGGCTGCTCTCTAGGAGGCCGCCGTGCAGTGCCCCGGCATGGGATGGTCTCCACCACGTTGGCAATGACCGACACAGCGATGAAAAAGCCGGTCACGTAGTAGAAAACCAAGGCTGCTGTGCTCGTGTGAGGGTTCTCAAAGGCCCGCCAGAGCCGCTGCCGCAGGGAGCTGCCCGCCGGCAGGGCTGGGCCGTCCCCAGCCTGCTCGGCCTCTTCATCCTCAGCCAGGCGTTCAGCGTTCTCCTTCTTACGGTCCCGGTATTCTTCAAGGCAGCAGTCGCCCACAAGCTCAGGTACCAGACCATAGAAGGCCAGCTCTTCGTCAAAGGCCTGTATGCACTCCTGCCGCGGACAGTGAAGTCGCCCGGTGCGGTAGAAGTTCAGCACGTGCCGGAACATGTCGGGGTCTCGATCGAAAAAGTACTCGCCAGAGTCTGCATCATAGAAGAACTCCTTCTCTGAACTGCCTAGCAGAGTGTCTGGGTAACGGTCCAGCGTGTTCTTCCAGGTCTCAAAGCGCCGCCCGCTCACGTTCACCACCAGAACCTCATCCCCTCGAGAGGCCTTCACTCCCGGTGCTGGAGGTAGGGGCTGCTGGGCCAGGGGCAGCCAACCCACGGCGGCCGCCCGGGCAAAAGGTAGCCACGTGGCCACACCTGCCGCCATCCTGCCGCTCCCCAGGCCCACGGAAGGAGACTTGGGTGTATATGTGTGTGTGTGTGTTTAGGAGAATGTGGCCCTCTCCAGGATGGTGGGGGCTTGGAGAGGGCCCAGGCCACCTGGACAAGGAAACTGGGGGTTTCTAGAGAGGCCAAGAGGAACCAGGAGGAGGAACTAGAGAGATGGGCAGGGACTTGGGGGGCATTTATGAGGAACCTGGGGAATAACTTCTGGGGTTGAAGAGGGGCTGGGGGGTCATTGAGAGGAGCTGACAAGAGGTGTCTCGAAGGGGTGAGGAAGTCCTGAAGGAGTGTCTAGAGAGACTGAAAGGATTCTAGAGGAGTCAGCATGTGCCTGAGTAATGTCTGAAGCTGTCTAGAGAGGCCAAGAATTACCTGGGGAGTTGTCCACACTCTCAAGAGTTCTGGAGGAAAAAGGGGCCAGAGACCCTTAGTGAGGTTGTAGAGAAGGTTGGGGCATCCAGACAGAACAGGGACCAGAGGTGTTTGAAGGAGGCTGAGAATTCTGGGTGAGGGAAGGGTTCTAAAGAGGTTGAGAAAGATGAGGCTTCTGTGGAAAAGTTAAGTGGGCTGGAGCTCCCAGGTAGATCTGGAAAGGGGGATGATATATCTAGAGGGGTGTCGATAGAACCAGGAGATTGTAAAGAGGCTGAGAATTGTCTTGGGAGTGCCTAGAGCTGCCAAGAATAGCCTGGGGGTGTATGCGCCACACACGTTCTGGGGAAGGGGGGAGAGGCTGGGACCCCTAGTGGGGCTGGAGAGTGGGGTATCTAGATGTGTAAATATGTGGCTGGGTTATTTTTTAAGGAGTCTGAGAGGTATCTGGGGGGTCTCTAGAGGGGCTGAGAAAGCCCCATCCACACTCTCAAGAGTTCTGGCGGACGAGGAAGAGGGGGCTGGGGGAGCCAGAAGGGCTGGTACTCAATTGGAAGGAAGTTGGGCACAGCCCCAGAGCACCAAGGGAAAAAAAAAAAAAAAAAACCAAGGGGATCTAAAAAGACTAAGAGGAAAGAGGGGATCTCCTCAAACAGGTTTGGAGAGGGGGGGTGGGATGTTGAAAGGGAATTGGGTGTGTCTCCAGGCAGGGGGACTGCTGGGCCGGAGGCTGGCGGGGGCGGGGGGGGGGCGGGAGGCCCAGGTCCCACCGGTTGGGGGCAGGTCTGGAGAAACCACACCCCGAGGGGCTGGCGGTGTGTGCTGGGCAGCAGCAATAGCAGCAGCGGCAGCAGGAGGAGGAGGAAGAGGAGCAACCACAGCCAGGCCTAGGAGAGGAGAAGGCGGCACAGACAGGGGTAGGGGGCTGGGTCCCTGGACGGAGGCTCTGGAAGGACAAGGCCCAGTGGGACCTCAGTGGGACCTCTGGGGACTGTCCCAGGATGGGCTAGGGCGTGGGGGCTGGACCAGGGAAGGACAAGGAGAGCGCTATTGGTGGCCCCCTCCCCCTACCAATGGGGTTGTCCTCACCTGTGTCCCCACTGCAGCAGCGGCAACAGCGGTTGGGGCTAGGGGTACCAAGCACCGGAGCTCCCAGCCCCCTCTGCAGAGCTGCCAGAGTTGTCCTTCTCCTCTGGCTCTCTCCCTGCCCCTCCGAGCTTGCCGGGAGATGGAGAGGCAGGGGAGGGGCCTTGTGGTGCTCAGAGCCCCCTCCCCTAGGACAGCCTGAGAGGGACCCTGGGGAGACTCCGCCTCCTACAAAGCTGGTTGGGCCTCAGTCGCGTCATCTGGAAAATGGGGGTGGCAGGGAGTTTTGCCAGTTCTCCCCACCTCCTTCCTGGACTCCCCCCTCTTCCTGCCCAAGTCCTACCCCCTCTGCCCCAAGGGGCCCCCACCTCCACCCGCCTGAATCAGCAGCACTTAGCAATTCCGATCGATGGGGAGGCGTCTGTTAATGGCCCCAGAGCGGAGTGCCACGGGGAATGATGCAGCGCTGTGTCCCCTCCCTGCCCCCCAGGCAGTAAAAGGGCTGGAATAGCCGGAGATTGGGGTAGTTTAGGGGCGTTTCTCTAGGTGGCCAAGCCTCCAAAGCTGCTACCTGACGGGTGTGGGTTACAGCTGTAGGACTGGAACACAAGTCTTCCAGTCTTTGGATATGAAGTGAGGTGCAGATGGGGAAATCCACCCCCATACCAGGTTGTCCCAGGCTGGGCCCACTCCTAGGGGCAGTCTCCACATCCAGCGGCCTCAAATCACACCTCCTTCCCTAGAGGGCTCTGTTCCTGGGTAATGGGAGTATTGGGGCCTTGGGCAGGCCTGGGTGGGTTCAAACCCATTTTACCACTAACTTGCCGTCCTTGAGTCCTTGAACTGACTTGCATTGTTTCTTCAGTTGTCAGATGAAGTTATGCGACTCAATAGTGTTGAGTATTAGATGAAATGTGAAAGGAGATGACACAAGGCTCGGCACACAGAGGGTGCCTAATCTTTAGTAATTAAAGGTGTGTGGCAAGGCCAATTTTAGCCATTCAATTGATTTACCCATCAGCGTAATCCTCCATTTGTTCACTCACCATACTCTTGATTTGTTCATTTCTCCATCCTTATACTCACCCCTACTCATTATCTCTCCTACATAACCAATTACTCTACCCATTCCTTCATCCACTTTTGTCCATTTAGCCATAAATGGACACATGGATAGATGGGAGGATGGATAGATGGTTGAATGGACTGATAAGTAAATGGACACGCACTCATCCATTTGCATATCCACTCCATTCATCTAACCCTTCACTAGCACATCCGTGTATCCATCCTTCACCCATCTACTCAACCCATGCATCTATCTGTCCACTTATTCATCCATATCTCCACCTATCATATATTCACCCACCTTTTCCTCTTCTCATTCATTAGCTTATCTATCCATCTACTCACCCATCCATATACTTCCCTATCCATCTCTCCATTTACTTCCAACCTGTCCATAAATTCATCTGCCTTCCTAATTCATCCATTTTACTTATGTACCTAAACATCCATCTGTCCATTTACATCCCTACCTATCCTTTACCTATCTACCTACCAGTCCATCTATCCATTTATTCATCCAACCACCTATCTATCCATCTGCCCATTTATTCTCAAATCTATCCATCATCAGTCCATGTAACCTCCCACTTATCAGTCCATGCAACCACTTATCCATCCTTCCATCTGTCCATGTATCCACACCCACACTCCCATACACATCCACCCATGTATCTGCAGATATTTCTGTTCCATTCAATTTGAGGAGCTGGTTAATAGTAGTTCGAAACAGGCTGGGTGAGGGAATGGGAATGAAAGTAAAGTTGTCATCTGAGACCATCCTCCCCATTCCAATTGAATGACCCTTCCACCCCACTCTACCCCTAGGCATATCCCTCCTTGTTGGAAAGAACGAGACCAGAGAGTCAGTGGGTGGGCCCATCTGGCCAGATGGTATTTTGGCTGCACAGCCTTTACACACACACACACACACGTTGCTAAAATGCTGAACATGGACCACATCCCCACCCAACATCCCCAATCCCAAATGCAGAGTAGCCAGGCTTCCAGACATAAATTAAAAAAAGAAAAAGAAAAAAAAAATTGGTTTGTGGGAGGGAGAGCTCATGCAGAGATGAAGGCAAAGGCCTCTGGGAGCCAGGGCCAAGAAGAAATCCCTGCCCCTCCCCTCAGAATCCCTATTCCCCAGGGGCCTCTGCCCTAAGACAAGCCATGAGGCCTATAACCGCTTTAATGTCCAGTTTCTCAACCTATTCATTTCTGGCTCAGGCCTCCATTTTCGCACCATAGCCCAAGGGAATGAAGTCTTGGGAAGTCGAGAGAGGAGAGAGTGAGTGTAGCCTGTAGGTCTTTAGCTGGCCTCTCCCGGCTCTAGGTCTGGATCAGGGGACCCCACACACTCCTTGCTGAGCCGTACAATTTCCTGGGACAGAACCTCCATATCCTAAGAAACAAATGAGCCATCAGGGGCCAGAGAAGGGGTAGGGGTAGCTCCTTCACCAATCCTGGGATATCATCTGTGATTTCCTTCTCATCTCATTAAATCAATGCCCAGAGATGGCTGGCCTGGGATAGAAAGGTACTTAGAGCAGTTCATAAAGCCCCCAGCAGTAAGCTGGGCTCAGAAAAGGCATTTCTGGGGAGTTTTTGCTTAGGGGGCATTGAGTTTATGTAAATGGTGGTGGAGTGATTTGGAGAAGGATAGCAAGAATGGCTGCAGAACTTGAAGAATGTAATCAATGTCACTGAATTGTATGTGTAAAAATTGTTGAGGTGATGTATGTTTTGTATATATTTTCACCATGATAAAATAAAATAGAAAGAAAGAAGAGGTATGTCTGGATGTGGGGATCCTCTGGAGCTATGGCTACAGGAGTAGATCATCTGTTGCAGCATTGTGCTGCTGAAGGATATAAACCCCCCTCCTCATGACCTTCTCTTCTACTAAACAGTGGGCTTGCTTCTCAAAGGCAGGGACTGGGTCTGACTTCTTTCAGATATCCCCACCCCCCAGAGAATGAGGAAATATTTGATTGGCAGGATGGGCAAGTAGATGTGTAGGAAGGTGCATGGGGGGAGGACTTTTGGTAGGCAAATGAGGAGGATAGATGGCAGCAGGCAGATCATGGGGTGGGATGGGTAAAAACAAAGGTAAGGCAAGGGATGACTGATGACCAGATAAGAAAGAGAGGTATATCAGGAAATGTGTGTAAAGACACAGGGTATATGGCAAGATGTGTAGGTGGGTAGACTGGTAAATAGTAGGGTGGGCAGATGGACAGATGGTTGAATGTGTGTATGAATGGGTAGATGGAAGGACAGAGGGAAGAGTGAAAGACTAAACTGATGTGTTAAGTAGATAGGAGGATGGGAAGATGAGAGGACAAAGGAGAAGTCAGTGAGTGGGTAGGGGGATGGAAGGAAAGACAGGTGGGTGGGTAGATGGATGGGGGTACTTGAAGATGAAAGTGGCTGTGTAAGTGGGCAGGCAGGTAGCTGGATGGACAGTGGGTAGGCCACACTTGCCTTGTGCAAGTGCATGTTCTTGGTGAGCTGCTCCTCCAGCATGTTCTGCAGCTTCTTGTTCATCTCCCGAAGGTTCTCATCGCCTGGCTTCACTAGGTCTCTTAGGACGCTGCCCAGTCCGCTGCGGTCTGTGTGGCCTGCTGCCACAGACACATCTGCAAGGGCCCAGGCTGAGAACCACCCCCTCGGCAAAGCCAGAGCAGAGATAGACAGAGACAGGAGAAAAGAGGAAAACAAAGAGCAGGGGAGAAAGTGGGAAGAAGCCATGTTATGTAGGTGGAGGGTTTGATATGTGAAACCTGGCTCTGTCCATTACTAGCTATGTGACCCTGAGCCTCTGTGAAATAGGGTTAATAACTAACTCATGGAGCTGGAACAATGTGCATGACAACATGTGAAGCACAGAACAAACTGTAAATGTTCAGTACGTGTCAGTCAGTTGGTATTATTCTGATTAATAAGGAAAAAATAGAGAGAGAAGAGGAAGGTTTGAAAGAAAAGAGTGTAAGAAACAAACCCAAGGGGAAGGAAAGATGGAAAAAGTAGGAAAGGGAGAGAGAGAGAAAGAGAGGAAGAGGGGGATAAAGGGAGGAAGAGGAAGAGATAAGGACCCCAAAAAGGATACAGATATAGAGGGTGAAATTTTAGAGAGATGGAATATAGAGAGGGAGTAGGGACAGGGAGGTAAGATGAAGAAGGGACACAAGAAGAAACATAGGGAGAAGAGAGAAGAGGAAGATGAGATACAGGGAGAAGGAGAAAGAAGGACATAGAGATTGCAAAGTGAGAGGGAGGGAAAGATGACAGAGACAGAGAGGAGGGAGGTGCCAAGATAAAGAGAGAACAGAGAGAAAGACACACAGATGCAGGCTGTTCCCTACTCTCCCCCTCCACCAGTATAGCTTTGTCAGTTAACTTTGTTGAGTTCCAAGAGGCCAGGAGAGAAGCTGTAGCACTGAACAGTAAAGAAGGGAGGCAGATGAGTGGGCTGGGCTAGGGGTGAGGGCTAGGGAGGGGGCACTGACCAATCCGGCTGTCCATGACATAGGTTTCAATGATGGCACTCTTCCGGCAGAGGTCCTCCGCCATGGAGGCACTGCTCACCTCCAGGTGCTTCACCTGCAGGATGGCCAAGTCTACCTCAGACCCTTCAACTGCACAGGTACACATATGGGGAGGGGCCCAGCAGACCTTTATCCACCCCTCAAGGGCACTCCACATGAGGACAAGCAGGCAGACAGACAGCACCTTCTCCTCCAGCATCCATTTCTCCTGCTGTGTCTCTGCTAGCCGCTGAAAGAGCTCAGCCACTTCCTCATCAGATAGCTCTGCTGGTCGAGGGGGCTGGGCCTGAGGGCTGCTAGATAAAGACTGCAGAAAAGAGAAGAGGTCAGTCAGGCTCAGCCCCACCTACCTCAGAGAGGAGTGATGGGCTGAGAACAAGAACCAGACTAGGGGTGGAGTAAGGAGAGGATGGGGCTGTAGGCAGTTCGTGATACCCTCAGAGACTTTATTTCCCCCTTTGGCTAAAGGGGGAGAGGCAGTAAGTACCATATTATAGCAGTGTTGAGTGGATGAAGGGAAATCCTGTAGCAAATGAGATCTAAGTTCCAGTTAACAGGAAAACTAGGGGAAAAAGGAACAAGCTAAATGACACCACAAAGAAGCAAGCAGCAAAGTCCAAATGGTGGAACTTTCTATAGGTCAACTGGCCTGGTGTCTTCAACAGGTTGATGTCATGAGAAAAAGGAATTACACTAGATTAAAGAGAGACTTGAGGGACAAAAAACCACCACTTAACAATAAGTGCTCTGAAATTGAATGCTGGTTTTCATAAAACTAACTACAAAGAACATTTTGGGGCCGAGAAGAGAAATTTGATGAAGGTCAAAGTATTAGATGAGATGAAAATTTACCAAATTGAGATGGTAGAAATTAGCTGAATAAAAGCAAGTTACAAATGATCTCAATTATGTTAAATAAAAAGTATATGTATGTACATATATACATAAACAAATACATACAGATGTAGATCTGAGATCTGGAAGGGGATAAACTAAAGATTTATACCAGTGACCCCTGGATGGTAAAAATGTGATTTTAAAAAATATTTTTAAAAAATCTTTGCTCATATATATTTTTTTTTTAATTTTCTACAATGCACACATACTATGTGTGGAATAATAAAATGTTATTGCCAAATAAAAGTGGTTGGCAAGATAGATGACAATAAATAATAAGTTGGAAAAAGGGATCTCATAGATGGATGGTGTACCAATTATGAGCCATATACTTTATGGCATCAGAAAAGGTGAATTAGCCCACAGAGGATGAAACAGAGAGTCAGAAAGAATGATTTGCCCATCTCTCATAAGCAATCTGTATCCAAGTTGCCGAGTTTGGGAAGAACTTGACAAGACAATGTATGTGCTGGGCCCAGAGTAGGAGATGATTTCAGGAATGGATGAAAGGACAATCCCAGAATTTGGGTAGGAAAACCCGGGGCTGTAGGCTCTTCCTTGCCTCTTACCCTAGCTGGAATGGCTGAGCTCTCCTTCTCCCGCAAGATTTCACGGTAGCTAAAGGAAGACACACTACTGCTGTCCCCTGTCTGTGTCCGGCTTGGTGAGTTCATCTCTGAGAGAACCAGCTCTTCAAGGCCTAGGCAGTGAGGAAACAGACACCTGAGCCTCAAGCCCCCAGGATTTTAGGGCAGTGATAGGCAGGAAGAGGCAGAAATAGATTTGACAGAGATGGAAAGAGGCAGAGATACTCAGGCATGGGAAAAGGCAGAGGCAGACAATATGACAAAGAAAGAGAGACAGAAACAGAAAAAGCAACTGCCTCCCTAGGCAAACACACACAACAGAAGAGAAACAAAGTTGAAGAGACGGGGTGAAAGACAGAAATGTGACTTCACACAGGCATAAAGTGGCATACCTACTAAGAGCGAGGGTACAGAGAAAAGAAAACAGACAGCTGGAGAGGGCAGAGATGCACACCCACATGCAAACAGCAAAACCCAGAAAGACAAAGAAGATAGAGCAGATGACAGAGACAGAGATGCTGGAGAAAGATAAAAGTCAGAGACAGGGAGAAAAAAGATGAAGATGGACTCTCACAACCACTTACCTAAATCTGAATTTAATCTAATAGACAAGAAGAGTGTATGGTACACAATTCTAATCTGTTTGGTGATTCTTACATTAATCTGTTACAAAACAAAAAAAAATAAATTCTCCTTTATAAAGAGAGATTACTTCAGGAGACTGAGTACCTTGGAGAGAAATTGATGTGATGATACATCCATTTTGCCATGTCACTTAAAAGCACAGAGCTTATGCTGCTGCTCTTGTGGCTGGTTCTGGGTGTCAGGGAGGGAACTGAGAACACACCCCAAGGGGCCTCTAGCAAAGGTGGGTGGTTGAGTGGGATTCCATGGGTGCCCTGAATGGAGGGACAAAGGGGCAAGTTTTCCCAGATCTATGACATAGGAGATACACCTGAGTCATTACTTTATTTTATTTATTCATTTATATGTATTTATAGGCCATTCTCTTCTAAATAATAATAATAAAAAAGGACTAAAGCAACTAAAGTTTTTTGTGCATTTTCTGCTTTAAGTGGTAAAAGAAACATAGATTGAATTAACTGCATGATTAAAACACCAGTGTTGCTGCCTGCTTGTAAGTCTGTCTTCTTAGCTAAACTGGGACCTCGTAGAAGCCAGGGATCCTGGGGATTTACTACCAGGGGCGCTGGACTTGAGCGAGGGGGCTCAGTCCATATTAGAGAATGAGAGAATAGATACTACTGATTTGGAAACACCAAGTAAGGTGTGAGAGTATGTGTGAAGGGGTAGTGGGAAGACAGAGACAGAGACAAAAGATAGAGAACGAAAGAGAGAAAAAACAGAAAGAGATAAAGAGACAGGGAGAAGAAAAAGAAAGGGAAGAAAAAAGGAGAAAATGAGAGAAAGAAGCCAATATAGAAGAAAACCTGGAAATAGACAAGATGAAGCAGCAGAGGAAGAGAGAGACAGAAACAAAGGGACAAGCACAAAACCCAGAGACAAAGACAAAAAGCAAACAGATAATGCAGACAGAGATAGAAAGAGGAGAGAGATAGATACAGGGAAAGGGTAAAAGACAGGCTGAGTTCAAGAGGACCAGAAGACACAGAAGAGAAAGAAGTAGGGGTGAAGTGAGGTACAGGAAGGACTTGTCCTTCAGGTCCAGGTTCAGTCTCCTCTGTGCCTCCATCTCCCCACGTCTGTTGTGGATCCTCACCTGAGCGGCTCTTGCTGTTGGTGAGGATATCCTGCAGCCGCTCCTGCAGCTTATCTGCCCGTTTCCGCTCCAGGTGCAGCTGCCGCTTGAGGTCCTTTAGCTGTGGGGGACCAGGGAGAGAGGTGGGGAAATGAGGCCCAGTGGGCCCATAGGTAGGAGCCACAGGTTAGGAGAGGGTTTTGCTTGGGCACCTCCCCATCTTACTGCAGCACTGCCCTTCTTCTCCAGAATTCTCTGTCCATCCACTGTGTCCTTTACTTCCTGTGGGATAGAAAGCCTGGCTGGCAGGTACCTAATGGTGGCATGCAGTCAGCTCCCTTGCTGCCCCCTTACTACATGCTGAGGTGGCTGTGGTGGGACCATTGACCTGTTTCAGGCTGCTGATGGTTTTCAGGTGGCTGTCTCGCTCCTCCTGGGCCTGCTGGAGCTGATCCTTCACACCTTGTAGTTCCTCCTCCTTGCCCTGCAAAGCAGAGGGCAGGAAAAGACTCAGCTTAGGAAACCCTAGCCTCCAGACTAGGGCCTGCTACTCTCCAGAGAAAAAAACACCATCATGCTACAGGTACCTTCAGCTCAGTAGTGTGCTGCTCCCGACACTGCTTGAGGACTTCCTCTTGTTCCTGTTGTTGCTGCTGCAGAGATTCCTGCAAGATAAGCCCTAGGTCTGGCCACAGCCCCCACAAGACAATACTCCCAGTTAGGGATATGATGTAGGGGTTCTGCAGTGGGGACCCATAGGTACGAAGAAAAGAAACTCCTGCATGAAACAATGCATGCACTTAGGCTGTATACAAAAGTGTCATGTTGAAGCCTGCTCCATTCATATTACAGACCTAAATTTATGTTTACATTTTGTTTCATTTAACAACAGTACTTACTATATTTCAAAATGTTCTAAGGGTTTTACTTATATTAACTCATTTTGTACCTTAACCCAAAACTCACTGCCATTGAGTCAATTGCAACTGACTCATAATGACCCTATAAGACAGAGTAGAACTGTCTACAGAATTTCTAAGGCTATAATCTTTATAGAACGCTACTACTACATCTTTCTTCTGCAGAGCAGCTGGTGGATTTAAACTGCTGACCTTTCGGTTAGCAGCCAAGCGCTGCACCACCAGAGCTCCTCATACCAAAACCAACCAAAAAAAACCAAACTTACAGTAGGTACTTGCAAAAAGGACATGGGGATGGCTTCTTCTGACCTCTAAATTCACAAGAGGGAAAGAGAACCAAGATGAATATCAACAGCCCAAGGCTGGTTCCTATGAGGCAGAGGTCAGACATGATGCCACCTTCCAACCCTCTTTGCCGTTGACATCAGAAGTGGTAGTCATTGCAGTGGTTCCAGATTCATGGAATCATGGAACTTTGTAAGAGAAAGAAAGAAGGGGCATGGGAAGTGAAACTTTTGATTCTTTCAAACCAAACCAAACCCACTGCCATCGAGTTAGGTTTCCAAGGCTACTTCTTTATGGAAGTAGATTGACCTGTCTTCCTTCTGTGGAATGGCTGGTGGGTTTGAACTGCCAACCTATTGGTTAGCAGTCAAATGCCTTAGGCACTGCGCCACCACAGCTCCTTTTTTGATTCTTAGATGGTTACTTTGGTGGTTGTTACCTGTAATGGCTAAAAGGAATATAAGACATACTATGCTGTAGCAAAGGGGAGAAAAGCCATATCTGGAGTAGTCTGGAGCAAGAGACAAGGAGCTCTGGTGGTGTAGTGGTTAAGGCATTTGGCTGCTAACTGAAAGGTCAGTAGTTCAAACCCACCAGCAGCTTCATGAACAAAGATGAGACAGTCTGCTTCCATATAAAGATTTGTAGCCTTGGAAACCTAATGGGGGGTTGCTATGAGTCTGAATCGACTCGATGGCAGTGAGCTTGTTTTTTGGTTTGTAGCAAGAGCCAGATCAATTAAAGGAGATGACTGATAGGCACTACGCTAGCAGAACTCCTACTGGTCTGATTTGTTGTTGTTGTTGTTGTTATGTGCCGTGGAGTCGGCCCCGACTCATAGCGACCCCTCCTTGGGTTTCCGAGGCAGTATCAAC